CCCAGAGGTTCTAGTCCCGCTCTCTCCAGGCTGGGTGCTGGGGGCCAGGCAAGTGGAGCCGCTTGCCCTAACCCCCTTGCTCTTGCTCCCCAGGCGTCCTCTTCGCCCGCCGGCCCCAGGCCACCCCAGCGCCCGGTGGAGGAAGCACCCAGAGCCGGCTGAACCCCGTGCCTGCCCCGAACCCACTGCTCTCAGCACCCTCACACAGCCACACTCCCACCAGCACCTTGCCATAGGGGAGACACTCTCCCATCCCGAAGGCAGCTGAGGGTGCCCAAGACCTGGGGGGCTGAGCTGTAGGACCCAGATGGGCCTCTGAGGTGGGATGGGAGTCCCAAAGATGCCCCTTGCTGCAATACTGAGCTGTGTCTGTGCAAGGCTGTGAGCACCCACATGGGCCCTTTTGTCTCTTATCCCTGCGCATGGGACCCCTTCCTCATGCTTGCCCTCTGACACCCTGCTTCTTTCCTGGGAACAGCCCCCAGGTGCCCCCCCCATACAGCTCCTGCCTGCCCTGCTGCCTGGGGCACCCCTGGGCCCCTCTTGCTGCATCCCCTACACATGGCAGCCTCGACACCCACCTCTGCACCCACTGCAGCCTCTTTACCCATCTCAGTTCACCCGCTGCAGCCCCTATGACCACCTAGATATGTACGCTCCATCCTCCACATCGCCACGCTCAGTCCACATGCTGCATCTCCTCCATCCTGACTCCCCTACACGCATCTCTATGCACGCTGCATCCCCTTAATGCACACCCTTGTTGCATATGCTGCATTCCCTGTACACATCCCCAGTGCACACCCTGCGTCCCTTATACACACCCTTGGTGCCTGCGTGACATCACCTCTGTACACCCTCAGTGCAAACACTGCAGCCCTTGTACACTGCAGCCCCTATACACTGCAGCCTACATACACTGCAACCCACATACGCTGCATCCCCTATATGCTGCACCTACTACCCACTGCCGACCTCCCTGTGTAGCCCTTCTGCACTCCCTGAGCTTGTTGCCCCCTCCCTGAGTCACCCAGAGGGTCCTGGGTTCCCCTTGGCTACCTCAAAGTGGTGGCATCTCATCCCCCTCGCCCAGGTCCTCGACTCAGGGGCCTCATCCTGGGGGGCAGATACTAGGGACATTGGTGGAACAGGTGGGGGGCAGATGTGACAGGTTGTTAGCTGGGCAGGGAGGGCTTAATTTTGAGGTGGGGCATGTGAACTGGGAGTTTTTTGGTGGGGGCAGAGCATGGAGGCCCAGCAGTGCCCCCACCACCAAAGACCACCCAGACACCGAGGTCCTCAGCCAGGGGCAGGGAGACAGAGGGCACTCCTAACTACCTCGTTGGGGCTGAGTGGGCACACCCTCGACCCCCCGGGGTGCCAAAGCAGGTGAGCGTCAAGGAGCGCTCACCTCTACCTCAGTATTTGGGGGGCTGGGGATAGGTGCTGCCGGGCTTCCCCCGGCACTCCCATTGCGGCTGCGCGACTCTGTGTATCTATTAAAGAAAATGTACT